GTAAATTGACAAGATACTCTGATAGGTTCTGTGAAGGTTGTATTAGATTACAATTACAGAGTCTTTTCACCACTTGGGCATCTGGAAATAACATAATTGATGATTTTATTCAACAATGTCAAATGAAATCATCTCTGCCAACTTGTATTTTAGAATGGATACCTTTTGAGCAATTTTATGATATAACAAAGTTGACAGAAGGTGGATTTAGTTCAATTTATACTGCTACATGGACAAAAGGAAGTATTGATGATTACAATGAAAATAAAAAGGAATTTAGTTACTTAGAAGAGCAACTGGTAGTATTAAAAAGTTTAAACAATTCAAGTAATCCAGGAAAAAGCTTTTTTGATGAGGTTGGTAGTTGTCATTTAAAAAATAAACAATACTGTATTATATAACACTAATTGACTTTATAATCAATAGGCAATAAATTATTCTAAAATTAAATCAGGGTTGATTGTTCAGTGCTATGGTATAACTAAATTCTCAGATAATGGAAATTATGTAATTGTTTTAAATTATCATTTGGAAGGAAATTTAAGAGATTATTTACAAAATAATCATTTAACATTAAAAGATAGAATTATAATCTTTTATTATTTATGTGATGCATTATATCGGATACATGAAAAAGATTTAATTCATTGTGATTTACATAGTGGTAATATATTAATGGGTAGTGGAGGTGGTTGTTATATTACAGATTTAGGATTATGTGGACCAGTTGATGACAAATCATCAAATAAAGTCTATGGAATTGTATCATATGTTGCACCCGAGATACTTAGAGGAAATAACATGAAGAATACCAAAGAAACTGATATCTATAGTGTTGGGATGTTAATGTGGGAAATATTTGCAGGTCATCCACCATTTGATGATAGAAATCACAATCATTGTTTATTTGATATATGTGAAGGTTTACGACCACCAATACTACCTGGAATGCCTGATGATTATGTGCAAATGATGCAGAGGTGTTGGGATGTGGATCCATCAAAAAGACCAACTAGT